AAGTAATAAATAGCGAAACTGGAAAAGTTAATTTTCAAAATAGTAAAATAGCTTTAAATATTAATAACAAATTGGTAAATTCCGACACAGAGGTCGCGGATACATTCGAATCTTATTTCACTAATATTCCATTAATTACGACACAGGCTCTAAAATATTCCCCGTCTGCTGCTGAAACTTTACTAACAGACAATGTTAGCAAGTCATCAGCTGTATTTAACTTTAGACATACATCATCAGTAGAAATAATGAAAATATTCAAACAGCTTAATAATAAAAAAACAGAGGATCTATGGGGTATATCTGTTAAAATACTAGATAGTATAATGGAAATTATTGCGCCCTCTCTTGCTTTTATTTTCAATAAATGTATAGATGAAGGTAAATTTCCTAACATAATGAAAATTAGTAAAATCATACCGCTTTTTAAATCTGGAGATAAGAGTGACCCAATAAATTATAGACCTATATCTATACTCCCAGCACTCAGTAAAATTTTTGAAAAAATAATCCTTATGCAGCTTGTCAGTTATTTCAATTTAAATAATTTAATCCACAATAGTCAATTCGGTTTTTCCAAAGGTCGTTCAACTACAGACGCAGGTGCAGAGTTGCTTAGACACGTATTTGCTGCATGGGAAACTAAAATGGATGCGATAGGTGTTTTTTGTGACCTTTCTAAGGCTTTTGATTGCGTTGATCATAATACATTGCTAAAAAAACTTGCTTTTTATGGCGTCAAAGACAATGCTTTAAATTTAATAAAATCTTATCTATCTGATAGAATACAGAAAGTGAAGGTTAGCAACGCTACGTCTGACGGGTCACTTGTGCAAATGGGTGTACCTCAAGGATCTATTCTCGGTCCATTTTTATTCCTAGTTTACATTAATGATCTCCCATATGCCATGCAGGATAGATGCGGCATAGTATTATTTGCAGACGATACTTCATTGATTTTTAAAGTTAATAGAATGACTAATAATTATGACGATGTAAATAGTGCTTTGCGGCGTCTCCTGCACTGGTTTACAACTAACAATCTTATGTTAAACGCTAAAAAAACAAAATGTGTTAATTTCTCTCTGTCTAAAAGTTTTAATACTAATTGTAATATTAAATTAAATGACGAATCTCTGGAATTTATAGAATCTACTGTCTTTCTAGGAATCACACTAGATAATAAAACACAATGGGGTGCACAAATTCAAAGCCTTGCAGCGAAACTAAGTTCAGCAGCTTTTGCCGTGCGTAAGGTTAGACAGTACACTGATACTGATACTGCTAGATTAGTCTATTTTAGTTATTTTCATAGTTTACTCTCTTATGGAATATTACTATGGGGAAAAGCGGCAGATATTAAAAATATATTCATATTACAAAAACGTGCCGTTCGAGCGATCTACTGTATGAAGAGTCGTGACTCATTAAGAGAGAAATTCAAAGAGGCAAATATTCTCACCGTTGCTTCTCAATTTATATATTCAAATATCCTATATGTTCATAAAAATCTTGACTTATTTCCAAAAAACAGCAATATTCATAATATTAATACAAGATTTAAAGACAAACTTGCTGTCCCCAAGTATCGTTTAGAAAAAGTTAATAGGTCTTTTATGGGAATAGGTATAAAAATTTACAATAAGATACCAAAGGATATGTTGGAATTACCCTTAAATAAATTCAAAACATCTGTTAAATCATATTTACTGAGCAAAGCCTATTACTCACTAAACGATTACTTGAATGACGAGTGTGCATGGCAATAGTTGTTCATGCACTGAATTTTCATTTAATGTTAGACATAGACACCTATATAAATATACATTGTAAATAAACTGGCTTTAAAAAAAAAAAGTAATTCAATTGAGTTTCTTGCCAGTTCTTCTCAATTGGATCTATATACCGAACTGGACGGTAGGGAAAAAAATAAAATTATAATGTAAAAATTTGACGTTCATAAGCGGCTGGAGTGTCCTACATGAATAAATGATTTTTGAATTTGAATTTGAATTTGAATTTGGTATGTATGTGTGTTTTACTGTGTGTTTATTTTATTTGTGTCTGTTTATGTGTTTATGAACTGTAGAAGAAAAAATATAATAGGAGCAAAAACAATCTATTTGACTAATCAGTTCCACTTAATTCGTACTTTCCGTAAGAGTATTTAGTTTATAATAAATTCTCAGTCAGTAGCCTTAATTACTAAAATACAACAAATATTTATAAAAAAAATTACAAAATTTTTTTGTTGATAAATTGTGGTCAATTAGAAAACTATTATTTGTAATGACCATACTTTCATTATATTAATAAACATACCTTATATATTTTTAAAGTTTCTTGAAAAAGAGTCTAGAGTCTGAATGGTCTATTGAGTTTTATTTTGGGAACCGCTCTAAGAACATTTAATGTCTAAGAAGTTCACGGCATTTGGGTCAGCAATAATTCTTGCCGTGCTCCATACGACCCCCATTCCATACTTCAAAGATGTGGAACACTGTGGAACTATTTCTATTCAGCGTACATAAATTATTCTCCCTAGGGACCAGTTAGGAACACCACGACCGTAGCCCTTTTATAACCTTCAATGATACCCACTTTTATTGTAGACACTAGGTTATGGAGGGATGAATCAAGATTATACACAAATAAGTATAAGAATTAAAACATAGTTTATATTATATTATTATATTATATGTTGCACCAATGGGGATGGCATAGGTATTCTGCGGAATAAACCATCAAGATTAAAAAAAAATTGAATGTATACGTGATATAAGAATGTTATACATTAATATAGTTTTTTTATTAAGTTGAGAGGTACAATTTACAATACTTTTTTTATCGAACTACATAATAAACTTATAACCTATTAAATACATACTTACTTTTTTGCAGCATTTGAACGAGGCAATGTATTTACTTACATTTTTATTAATAAAATTATTTACATTTCATAATCAAATTACGTAATCTGAAAAATGATGTTAAATTACCATAATATAAGCTGAAATAAATGCGGGCTTTTATTTTACAATATTCAACAATCCACATAAGTACTGAGGATTATAGTCGGTCGGCACGAATCGACTTTACATGCTACACTAATAAAGATAGCCTATTTTCGACGGCACTCAAAAAGATGGATTTTTTGTGTGTAACATAAAAAACCTAAGTTTCATTTTTATCTACGCGATAAGATCGATAAATCAGAATCGATGTTAATGTTTTAAATTGTCATTTTCTATTATATTTGATCAATTGATCCCACGTCTACTCTTTTTGTCATGAAAGATAATCTAGTTCTAGTTGACGACCTCGGTGGTCGGGGGAAGGGGATTGTTAGTAATGTGGACTCATGCCCCCATTACAGTACCATGTCAGGTTGACCTCCACGCGGTTCCCCCTGAAAACCATCGTGATAAAGTTCTGGTGAATTTGTCACGATGGGCTAACTGACCTGACCTCATGCACATCTTATCATCCTCCACTGGCCCCCAGCCGCGTAAACCGTTAGCGCGGGCGGTGCTCCATTGCATTATCATCAATAAAAAAACAGACCTCGGTGCTCTAGCGGTCTAGCACACGGCTTTACGTCCGATGATCGCGTAATTTGTATTCATTCATGAGTATGATTGTTTGTATCGGTCTGGGTATTTCCTATGTATAATATGTAAATTTTTACGAAAAAAAAATCTATGTATTTATATCAGTTGTCTAGTACCCATAACATAAGCTTCAGTTAGCTTAACTTGGGTCTAGATGGCGCTGTGTGAATTGTCCTAAGATTATTATTATTATTATATATTAATTTATCCAGATATATATTTATACAATTTCTTAATACTTAGAAAATATATATGGTTCACTTATTTTCAATGATTATATTTACTATAACTTACAGAACCTAAATGATTGCTTATAGAAGCTTCCGACGGCGAACGCTCGGATTATAAAATAAGCTTTCTGCTGTAAAGTATTCCCAAGAGCCTACAACACGGGATTCTCCAATAACGGTTTCTTCATGAAAAGATTTCTTTAGGGTAGGATACTCGCACGAAATGCTTCTCCTACCACCGCGCGGGCCGTATGTTTGTTTTGGTATTAAAACGAGTAGGTACTCATAAAATTTTATTACTGCGGCTATTTCCATAGAATGTAGCATATTTTCGCCCTTTTAAACTTATTTATATGGGAATATACAATGATATTAATTGTAAGGATTATAAAATGCAAAACAGACGTCCTAATCTCATTTCATATTTTATGAAACCCATGTATGCGTAGGTGTATAAAATTTTATATTGTTAGTCATAAAAAAAAATGTTTGAGAACAATGGTGACGATGGTGTAGTATGTGTGTATTATGTGAGCAATTATTTGAAGTTTTACTATTATTATTTTAGTAATCCTGTAGTAGTTTTTATGGGATTTTCAATAATAAGACTGTATTATTACGAAATGTATTATAATGAATGTGTTAATATAATATTAAGATCTGAAGCTAACTTTTAGCTGACTTTCTACCGCGTTTTACGAAAACTACGCGGACAAAATTTCATACTCCTCCGTATGAAATTTTGCATTCTTGTAATTTATGTAGCACTCGGCTAGAATGCTAATTTTTTTTTATAAAATATGCATATAAATATAATACATAAATCAATAAAAAAAAAAGATTACACACACTACCATGTATTCGACACACACACGCATAGCCAGACAGAAATATAGTCTTTGACAATAGAATATTAATAATGTTCGAATTTACGATTTAAATTAATTATGGTCTAATTTCGACAACAGGGCGACCACTAGTATCATTAAATATTTCTTTAACTCTTTTCAAATAATAAGGCATAATGGCGTATGGTCATAGCATGTTCAAAGGAACAAAAGAAAAAAAACTGTCATATTAATATTTTGACATAAATTTACTTTAGGTATAGGCAGTGGATAGATACATTTATAATTCCTATAGAAGAATAACAACAGAATAGAATGGAAATTCGCGATTACAATTCAGTTTAATTTGAATTGAGTAATGAATTCTAAACATAGGTGTTGCAATGTGACGTCTATGTGTGGTCGGACCCTTTGTGAAGGGATTGTTTTTATAGGAATTGTTACAGTAGTAAGTTTTACTGTAATAGAGTTATTTAATTATTACAATAACTAAGTTAATTTACGTTAATGAATGTGTGAATGTAATTTGTTGAAATGAAATATAATTATTTAGATTTTATTATTTTTAATCATCTTTTAACTGACTGATAGTCTATGTGGTATTTATTCTTTGTCTCTCATGTTAATTACAGATGATCAACGAATAGAATAGGTATTCTTCAATGCGTTTATGTTAGTTAAAAGTTCTTTTTTAACTTAAAAAATATTATGAAAAATATTACTATTTAACTATGGAGGATGATAGGATGAGCATGAGGCTAGAAAGTCTATCGTGGCAAATTCACCAGTAGTTTATCATAATGGTTTCTATGAGGAACCGCGTGGAGGTCAACCTGACTTGGTACATTGCTAGCGATGGAGTAATTAGTTTACATTACTAACAATCCCTTTCCCCCCGGCCCTTTAGGATTTTTGAGTTGAGGTCCAAGTCACTTATTATTCTTCGATTACTCTCACGGTCTACTATCACCATATTAGAGATTTTCGATAATAAAAAATTATCAATTCTATTTAACTAATTTAGATGTTACTTTCAGATTGTATCGTCAACACTGCTTATATATTCAAGTATATATTTCGTTCGACTGACATCTGCACCGAAGCCTTACAATAGTCATCCTGTTTTGGCTATTAATATGATTTTTGCCTTAGTTTGTACAAGTTTATCTGTTTACCAAATAATAATATCTTTATTATTATTATGGCAATCCATGAAGGTACCTTTTAATGTATAATTCATTAAATTAATTATATATTAATTCATAGGAATATCTGCTACTAACAAGCAGTGAGCTTCTATGACAATATTCAGATATTTTATTAATGGAATTGGAATGGCAAATAGTTGTATTAAAAAATGGTGATGGACCACCTGATGATATAGCGACAAATATAGCGAATTATTAACGATGGATTTTGGTGAGACCACGTAGAGGTCGACTTGATATAATATATTGCTAGCAATGGGATAATTAGGTGCAATTATTATCAAACCGTTCTCTCCATGGATGAGTGGTACCACAGGATCCACATGACGAGATATCCATGATTCTATTCCCTAGGGTAATACAAATGTTTATAACGTGCGTGGAATCGAACCCACGGCCAAAAGAAGTAAGGCGGTATTCTAAACCACTAGACTGCATAAAGTTCTGCATACATACAATTCCATTCCATGTTACAGGTAAAACAAAATATATACCTGTGTTCTCTGTGGTACGTGTCACACTTGTCCATTTTGGCGTTGTACATGATCCTCTGCTGCGCAAAAACTGTTGTTTATCTCAAACAAAAACTGATCTGGTCAGCAGTCTTTACGATTTCTATGGGATTAACATATCAAGGTTTTCTGAATTTTATTTCTTTAACTTCTTGTTCGCCGTACATTCCAATGGCAAAATTAGGTATAACATCTTTATCCTCCAGAAGGGGTATGTATAAGTGATGCTACATGCCGCAAATGTAGACGTACATTTAAAGGCTGCGGTTACCACTTACCGTCTGGTGGATCTTCCGCTAGGCCAGTTGAAGATCCACCTGAAGGTAATCAATTTTCTTAAAAAATAAAATAAATTAATAATCTCAGAACAATTCACACTGCGCCATCTAGAGCAAATTTAAGGTAGCTACAGCTTGTATTATGGGCACTAGACAACTGATACAAATACATAGATATATTTTTTAATATACTTACATATTATACATAGAAAACATCCAGACTGATACAAACAATCATACTCATGAATACAAATGTTTGTGGCGTGTGAGGAATTGAACCCGCGACCATCGGACGTAAACCGTTTCCTAAACCGTTAGACCACCGAGGTCGTCAAAATATAAAAAAAATCGTTGATAGTATTTTAAATCTCGTTTTTAATTTTTAATAGCAATTGCTACCAAAATTCCAATGTTTACTCACTTCAGTTAGGTGTAAACGAAGACGGTTACTGCGCCCTCTACATGAGGGATTGTAGTTAAGGACCTCGCAGTAATCTTTGACAGTGCTTCAACATAGGGGAAGCTACCCTAATAGGGTAATAGGATCAAAGCTTGTTTCAGCTTATATAAATAAAAAATGTATACAGATTTTTTTTTATTATAGTTTGCATTTTTTACCGCCCGACTGTCTAAGTTGGATAGTAAACTAAAGGCCGTTACTTCATATGTGGCAGACATCGGAATCTTGAATCATCGGAATGTGTTACTTTTATTTTTGACTGACTCTCCGATGATGGGAAATACAGATAACAAATCAAATTAAACCAAACGACAGTGGTAGTCTCACGGCCTGCCACTTTAGGATCCAATATATAGCGAATTGTGGGCAAGTCCATTGTTATGTTTACGCCTATGTATATTATTTACAATGATTACCCCGTCTAGGTTAAAAATTGTAAGAATATATAATTTTAAATCTTTAAGAAATATTTTTTGTTTCAGGTACATATATATACTTTTGTGTTGTGGTCAATAGTTACTTAAATACTCTAGATCAAGACAGATATTTTTAATATATTCGAATTATTATTTTAATAAAAACAATTATTAGATACCAGCTTTATTTTCCCTCGTTATAAATAAAGAAAAGATATCTATATAACAAGTTAGGAAAACAAATCACGAAGCGGTAATCGATTCTGATAACATATCTACTTCATTGTATTCTGAAATCGAAGCTATTACTTTGGGTCAGGCCTATTATTTCGAGAACAGGGTTTTTATTCAAAGAATATATTACGGTATAAATTTCCTGGTACAGAAATAGAAATCTTTAAAAGAGAATTAATGTACAAAAACATCTACTAACTGTATATTGTGAGCTTTTCTACGTCGTCTAGCACTGCCCGCGGTTTCACCCGCATGAAATTTACAGCCTGTATATATATATGATGTGTAAGCTATATAACTGTAAAGTTTCGTTAAAACCCTTTCAGTAGTTTTTGCATGAAAGAGTAACAAACATCCATCTATCCATCCATACTCACAAACTTTCTACTTTCTAATTACTGAACTCTAGGACATGTTCGGTCTATATTAAATCTCATTCAGTATAGTTAAATGTGATTCAATAACAGCATCTAAATATCTAATAGCATAAATATACATTTACAATAATAAATAGTAGGATTCCGTAAAGCCATAGACAAGGAATTCATCCTCACACGCTGGAACCTAAGTGGTCTCGGACAGTGCGGTTTCAGAGGAGCTTCCTCCCGCGTACACTTAGATTGTGGAATGAAGTACCTGTCGAGGTTTTCTTGGGAGACTACAGCATGGGGTTTTTCAAGAAGGGTATATTAAGGCTTCTTAAGGGTCGGCAACGCGCATGTGACACCCCTGGTGTTTCAGGCGTCCATAGGCTACGGTAACCGTTTACCATCAGATGGGCCGTTTGCTTGTATGCCACCTACGTGGTATATAAAAAAAAAGCCTTAAAGAGTAAAGCTTAGAAAGTACTGCAGACCATACGGTCTGCAGTACTTTCTTTCAAAGGACTCTCGATTTCGATTCTAGTTTGATATGCTTTAACCCAGGGTGGGTTACAGGACAAGTTCTTTTTTGTTATAGCTCAGGCTTGAACGGCGTAATTTCTTTTAAAAAATAGTTTTATTTCTTCTTTGTACAGAAGTGACGGATATATAGATAGCTTTCATACAATGTTTTTTATGACAGCGTAATAAGGGAAAGTGTGTATAAAATGTATATATTGTGTCTATATATATGAACTAATTTATAGGTCGAAAACAAGTGCTACTAATAATTTTACTGTATTATATTATACTTTTAAAATTACTCGAGCGAGGTTAATTCTGTCTGTATATTTTGCAGTTTCTATATAAATAAATAAATAATAAATTTGTTATAAACATTTTGTGTATAATTTCGATATGTAGGCCTATTGGTGTTGTGTCATAATAATGTCTTAAGAATAAATTAGGGTAACTGTACATTACATCACAATAAAAGACAAACTGGAAACAAAACAGTACACCAAGCTGTTTTGCCAGCATAAAAATAAAATGCTAATATTACCTTTGAAGAGAGATTCGGGTCCTAACAAAAAAAATATAAAAACGCGTGAATTTATAATACTGAAACTGTGGGCGATATGGAGGATGAATGAAACAACGGATAAGAAATTATAAATATTTCTAAAATTAAATCTGTGAGTTATAAAAAATATACGTTCAAAATTAATAGAACAGCAGATATATAAAAATGTACAATAAGTTTGCAACAGAAATAGTCTTGTACTTATGAAAATACATATGGTGCATTATTAAGTATATATACCTACTTAAACTCACTCAAAATTCACATAGTAACCTTTCGGTCACTTGTTGATGGCATAAACTGGTATTTTTGTCATTACAATTACTTGTAGTTAATGACTATAAATTTTGCTTGAAATAGTATTATAAATCATTAATTATTAACAAGGACTTTATCTGGTATTTGTCTGTCCTCTGTATATGATCCTATCTACAAGTGTTTCATTAAGATTAATTCAGCCGTTCAGTTGTGAGATGATAAGAAACATAAAATATACACGATTTAATCACATCACATCGATATTACTATAGATATAAAAATGTAGGTAGATATAAATCTACTAGAATATTAAAGAGTAACAGGGTGAATATAATTAATTTTATTTGCCGAAGTAATTTGTCTCGATAAACCAATTTGTACTGATCTTAAAAGAACTCTCTTGGCTTTGAAAAAGCTGATCCAATTAAAAGATTTAACTTGCTGCTAACGAAGACGTTCTGTCGAAATTAAATTTTTCAACGTGTTATTTATATTTAATTAATTTATTTTTATTTATATTAACTACATTACAACCCTTTTGTTTTTGGTGTAGTACCACTTTTGGGGACTTTTATGGCAAATATTGGACAGGTATATCTGCCTGCGGTAAGTCCTTGCTGTACACTAGTGGTTGATGAAGAGTTTGAAGTTTAAACTCAGCTCATTGTGAAGAATTCACCTGGAATTGTCCGTGTTGGTTTCTAGGGGGACCACGTGGTGTTTGATCGGATGTGGTAGATTACTAATGCCAGGGCCAATATTCCCCATTACTACATATCCCTTCCTCTATCTATCTGATTACTTTCTTTTGCCATTGATATTCGCTCACTGGAGTGTTAGTCAGATAGGTTTATAAATAGAAATACGAATATTTTTGTGTCGGCCAGATTTGAGTTCTAAGTCAGTGTATTACAGTACTAGGGCATGACTATAGGTTTATAAATAAAATAGGTATATTCTTTTCTTGTAGAGTCCTTATATCATCCTACTTACCACGAAGTAAATGATACTCTACCCGTTCAGAAGGCGTATTACGGCGGCGTATAGAATATGTCCACGCGTTTTATGACATCATTATCTCTCCGTTCGCAGATTGTCAGGAGGAGGTCGGAAGCGACTACATGACTACACGTTAAGCCTCTTTAACGATCACATCACCTATACTTTGACTATACTTTAGGGTGATTCAATATTTAGATAACTGTGGCTTCTGTTGCTTTTTCTTAGGTACGTCGAATGGTAAACTGGTAAACTTGTATCTGGAATGGTAAATAAGCTGACAACTGATGGTAAATATCAAACAACGACTATAGATATGTACAGCATTATTTATGTAATAAAAGGGGTTTGGACATCTGTGGTACACATACAATGGCATTCCTTTTTTATAGATTAGGGGACAAATGAGCTTGCGCCTCACACGATGGTAAGTGATTACTGCCGCTTATGAGCACCCGCAACACCTGGAAGTTGTAAGTGCGTTGTAGCCAGTTTAAGAAGGAATACGCTTGTTTCTTGAAGGTTTCAATATTGGTTCGGATATACCATTGAAATTTCTAGTGCACGGTGGAGAACCGTCATTAGTTTAGATTAGTAATATGATATTTTAGTTTCTGGCGAGTAGTGTGGTGGTGAAATTTAGTAACTGCTAAAAATCCGAACTATTCCTCAGAACTATAATAAGTTGTCATGCTTGTGTTAGTCATTTCTCTATCGTATATTAATCATCATATTGCACTCAGTGGTATACCAGTTTAGCACTTCGCTTTACTTCTGCTGGTCGCGAGTTCGAGTCCACGCACGGCACATTTGTACTCATGAATATGATCATTGGTATATACATGGGTGTTTTATAGGTATTTAAAAATTGAAGTATTTGTATTAATTGTCAAGTGTCCATTATATATGCTCTGCTTAGTTTGGGACTAGATGATATTGTGTCAATTGTCCACGGATATTATTATTTTTGGAATACAGATTTCAAAACAGATATTTAGGCAGAATTGGGATACGGAATAGAGACGAACAAACAGAAAACAATGTATAAAAAATAGCTCGTTCTAATTTGTAATATCTAAAACAGTATGCTTCTGTTACCTAGAAATTAGATATAAACCATGAATATGTATAGCGATGTATATTTTACACAAGACCTTCATCGTATGTGAGCAATGAAAACAAAATACATATATGTATGTACATTAATTTGAATATTTCATATGGTATAGTGGAACATTAACTTCATATTTTGAGTATTTAAAACTAATTTGATATTACAGTTGTGTAAAATATAAAATTTCAAAATCATAATCATCAAATCAAATCAAAATATCTTTATTTATGTTAGTCTATTACACACTCTCATGATATGTCAATTCTACTGTCAGTTCGGAGTGCTTTCGAGTTAAGAACAACTGATATAAACTCAGCTTTTATTCTTTTCAAATGATCTTGTACATATTTACAAAAATACAAATATATTTTTAATTTCCATTAGGGACAATCTAGTGACTGTCAGCATAGGCTATTGCATTTTTGTTAAAACTAAACAGTCTAATCAGTGGCCGTAACCAAGAACATATTTTAAATAGGTACCTGTATTATTATAACGCAAAATAAATGTTATTGTTAGCTACTTTTAGGAACATATTTAGATTGGCATTAGTAAAACATTTTAATTATTATTTATTATGAATATAACAGCAACATAGACTGTAATATTGTTGTCATTATTATTTAAAAAATAGTATCCCGCCCCGGCCGTCGTTCGTACGCGCATAACTTTGTCAGTATTAATCTCGAACCTACTAATTAATAAATTTGATACGGTAAACGAATTTCAGGAATCAGTACAGTGTATACTTTGAGCTAAAACCTTTTAGATTAAACTCGCTCTCTCTCTTTCTCTCTGTTTTTATAATGTTAGTATAGATAATAGCGGTAAAGGGTATGATGTATGTAGTACCAGAAATATACTGTTAAAAGTCGTTTACGTACCTGCGTGTCACCTATTTCAATCACCAAACAACTTTAATTGTAAACCTAGTTTCTGTTGTGGTATATGATTGGCAATGAAATTAAGGCATGACATCTTAGTCCTCTAGAATGGCAACGTATTAGAGCTAAATGGGTGGCATATGATAGCGTGATGTTCGTAGCGCTGTTCATGTATATAGTTGACGAATACCCATGTATCTATGTGGCTATTATTTGTTTA